GGCTCTATTGTTTTCCCCTAAGATTTGACAGAGATGTGTAATCCAATAAATTATAAGCGAGTAGGAATTTTTTTAGTGGTACTGGTTGATCGCCCATTACTATCCTTTCAAAAAAAATTTGAGGGAACTACTATGCTTTCAAATTAATAGACTACATACTGTACTGTCACACTTTTTTTTATTGTAGGTTCCCTGTAAATTCCTTAGCACATATATATAGGAAACAGTACAGGATAATGCATGTTGTGTGTACTATTTTATTTTTACTCATTTTTTATTTGAGAGTACTGTACTATATATATATATATACACATATAATAGCTTCCTATAGGAGAGAGATATATAAGATATAGAATAATAGCCGGACATAGGCCCAAAGTTTAGCAGGGTTGAGAGGCAGAATGATTCTTTCTCCAGTGCAGCGAGCACTCAATAATATTTCATGGGAGAATTTAATTGTGGGGTCCGACCATGTCACCAAGATCATTTCTAATTATTTTTCTGAAATTATGCGCTATGATAACATGGTACGGACGCTTTATGAGAGCATGGTATATAGGAACAACTCTAGAAGAATTTGTGTCAGCGTTAGCGCGGCATATTTATTTTTATATATACACCCCGGCCCATATGGTCGTGTGGCGTTGTTCTTTCACTGCATAAGAACAAAAAGTGAAATAAAAAAATGCTTGTAATAACGAAAACCGACGTTAGCTAATAACATATATACTTTATTCACGCGTTGCACACTTTTTGCTCTCTTTTGTCAAAAGAAATATAGTGATTGCTGCACCGCACGATGAAATGTGTTTGTTTGCTGCTCTCGATCAGTGCGCAAAATACTACTGGTGTACCCGGATGTGCCCTAGGTTTCACTAGTGGTGAAAGACGATCATGCGTGTTCATATATATATTTGCAGGTTATGGTCCCGTTTGCTTCGCTGAAAAAACAAGCCGAAACACTGTTCCGGCTGATTTGTTGTGAGAGAAAAACACTGTTCTGATTGAAAAAACAAGCTAGAAAAAATGGATTATAAGAGAAGCGAACATGGCTTATATCTGGTGCGTTCAGTAACAATAAGTACCCATCAGCTCAGAATTAAATTAAAGGACGGCTTTTGCCGAACCACACGACTATTCACTACGGCCCGGCTCTCGCTCGTACCGTACCGTGCACCCCGGCCCGAGAGATGATCATTAGTACCGGCCGACCTATACACGGCCACCGGCCGGCCGGTCGATGATATGGGACGGACTCGGCCGTGGCATGCGCCCGAAACACTCGATGGACCGCAGTACGGTCCACGGTAACCTGATGGTGATGGGGCAAGCAGGTGATCATACGTGCGTACGTTACGTAGTGCGCGGACGGACGTGCTGTGCCCGTGCGTCGACGTCGGTGCGTGCACCGTGCATGGATGGCCGCCGGCTGCGAACCACTCGCGAGAGAGAACGTGCTCATCTGGTCGTCTCCTGCTGGCTAGTGGAGGTGCACGCGGTGCACCGCAGACGCAATGCTTGACGAGCTTTAATTCTTCAGGCGTACGTACGTACGTCCTGCGGGTGTGTGTTTCTTCAGGTGGAGGCCACGCGCATGCAGGCGGCGGCAACCACGGGCAGGAGCCTGTGGCCCGTCCGGGCGCCCCAGCGGCGGGTGGCGGCCGGCGTTTCACCTTCAGCAGGGTTCTTGGCTTCTCTCTTCCCCGGAGCCCGACCGCATCGTCACCGGGCAGGTGGAGGGTGCCCGGGGGTTTCAATTTCCGCGCACACTCCCCATCAGCATCAGCAGACAGGGTGCCCGGGTTTCAATTTTTGCGCGCACTTCCCATCAGCATCAGCAGACAGCAGGGTTAGGGTTTGTATGGCTGTACTTTAATTCACCTTAATCTACATAGTTTCAAAGCGAATGAGGTGATTAGTTAATTTTTCACCTAAATCCTTTTTAACCCAATACGGATAGAGGTAGATTTGTGTGAGCAGCTAAACAACCTCCGAGCATCTCCAAGAGTCTTTGTTAAAATCACTCTCCAAATCATCATTTGGAGAACCATTTGCATAAAATAATTTTCTATATCTTTCTATCATCCAACGACTTTTCTATTTCTTGTGCTCTCCATCTTTGGCTAGCAAGAAATCCATAGAGGGTGGCAATATTTGAAGATCCATATAAAGAAGCTATTGGAGATTTTTTTTAACAAAGTCTCTATTGCTATCAATAAGGAAGGGTATAGAGGGGCTTGGAGCAAGTTCTTAATGTGCAACTATCAATTCTCAGCTTTTATGCCCTTATAGGATAAATCTGTTATCCATCTAATATTATTTAATTACAATATACTTTAAAAACAAGACACCATCTTCAAAAGGTTAGAAATTATGAGATTAATCAGAGGAAAAAAGAAGAATCGACACTTCTCTAGTTTTGTTATATACTATCTCCTTTTGAAAGAAAATGATGCAACTAGTTTAGCCTTAAGTCAAACCATCTTAAGTTTGATCAATTTTATATAAGAAAATAGATGTATCATATATGGTATACCAAAGTATAATTAGATCTATCATGGAATATATTTTTATAGTATACCTATTTGGTGTCATATATCTTTAGTTTGACTTAGTATAAAACTATGATTGCATTCTCTTTTGGATGCTGGTAGTATAAGATATAGATACCATCGACTTTAGTAGCTAGAGTTTAGGGTTTATCGTGGTGATTTATTTATTGTCGCTCTAATGATCAACTACAAAGTGATCCCTTGTTTTTGTTTGACTTCCTGAAATATGTGCCATCAAACTATTTATATTTTTTTTGCTATGAACTATTTTATAAAATTTAACTACTACATATTCAAATGTCTAAAGAATTATGGCTATATGAGCACTATATTACATGAATTGTCTCTCGAAAATGATTTACACATGCTTAGGGCCTCTTTGGAATGTAAAATTCTCAAAACCCTAGAATGAGGAAAAAGGTATGATTGAAATTACATGGAACTTACACTCCTACGATAATTCAAAATGTAGAAAAGTTTTCATTGTGTTATTTGGATGCAACATAGAAAATTTCCAGAAACACCAAAAGAGATTGAGATAGACACAAAGGAAAGTTTCAAAAAGGTCTAAGCTCATGCTAGTTTTGCTTCAAAATTCCTATGGTTTCATACATCCCATATTAATCCAAAGGAACCTCATAAGTTTAAATTTTTGTTCTAAAGGAACATATCAAAATTTTCCCTATAAGATTACAATCCTCCTAAATACAATGCTTTTCCTTTAGTCCATATGGATCCTTATTTCACCTTGGCTTTTTTAGGGAATATCCAAAGATTTCGTCTTAACTCGCTCTCTAAATTATTATTTTAGAGAGCCATTTGAATAAAAATCGCTCTATAAGTCTTTCCACCCTCTAACAACTTCTTTATATTTTTTACGCATTTTAAAGAGTCATATCCGCTCTTCATCTTTGGCTAGCAAGCAATCTGGAACAGAGAATGTCTATATTTGGAGATCTAGTTAAAGAAGTTGTTGGAGGGTAATTTTTTCACAAAAAGTCTCTATTCCTATCAATTAGGAAAGGATATAAAGAAATTCTTGGAGTTGTTCTTACTCAACCTAGGCACACGAATAATTAAGCTTAATAAGTGTAGAAACCCTCGTTCGGCTTACCTTAAATCCGGCTTGTTCGGCTTCTTTTTTCAGCCGGAACAATATTTTTCTCTCACAATATTTCAGCCAGAACAGTGTTTTTCAGCCAAGATTTAGTAAGCCGAACGGGGCCAATACACACTTATTATTGAAGGATCAATAATCTTGGGGGTCCAAGCATTAATAACTACATTTGTTTGGTTCAAAAAATAATTAGATTTGTTAAGTTGGGAACAAATGTGCTTGGTGGTTTTATTTTACACTTCTCCTATATCTCAGGTGCCTGATTTTTTTTTGGTTCAGACAACATGCAATTTTGTCATTGTTTGGCTATAGAAAAAAATGTTCATTGTCTTTTGTGATTGACATTTTAATTATACTAGTTGTAGTTGTCTCTTGTAAGTTGTTGCATGAAAACTCCAAAAAAAATCAGACACCTGGAATATAGCAGCTCCCTTTCTTTTAGGGTATAAACACTTTTGTTTGGTTACGTTTGCTAGCAACCCGACTCATGGTCATCAGAAGATTATGTTAGGAGAGGATAATTAGTGCAAATTTTGCACTCCAAACTATTTTACTGAATAGTAATGACTTGATCCATCAACGTTTTACAAGTTTGCATGTAAAAACGACTGACATGTTTTCTCGCCGTCATTATTTCATCTACTACACTGACAATGTTGGCAGCATATAGGATATAGCCATATAAATGTTCTTAAAATTTCCTAGCGCTTGATATAGAACGGCATGCACTGCGGATCCTACTCCCTGGTTCGCTCAGCAATCCAACTTAAACTGAGCTTACTTGGCTCGAAGACTGTAGCAAGCACCGAGAAAAGTGACAACAACAGGGCTCCAAAAGTTCAAGAATATATATACTATAAACTTTTAGTGGACTGTTGAAGGCAGATTCTGTGGTAACAAATTAGTAGGGCAACCTCATTCCCATTCCTATTAACTCTATATGTACCATGAAGAGTAAGAATGACAGTTCAACAATGACGGCATCGCCGTTGCAATTACACCTTGTGTAAAATAAAATCAATAGTTGCAAAATTAGACACCCGTTATCTACCTGTCACTGTTAGAGGCAAACTAAAAAGGGTAAAACAGCTGATCCCATCTTCTCTATGTACATCAACTTTCAGCAGCAGATGCAGCTCTGGCAGGCGAGAGATGGTCGAGCTCAGACACTGGTGCTGTAGAATTGATCTTCATATGTTAAGTCTGTACAGCAACATGCTTGTTATTCTTCAGAACTTCGACCAGTGCCCTCGAGATTCGTTGCCAAAAAATTGTTGGCCACAGGCTGCTGCAACTGTTAAACCACTTGTTTCTTATCAGCGTTGCCAATTCTACAGCTGGACACCTGCACTCTTGAGCGCCGCAGTCACGGTAGCAGAGGCCTCCTCGAGGGTTCTTGCCTTCTTCACAGTATTGAAAGCCTCTACGATGTCACCTTCCTGCCATTCATCGAAGTCATCTACACCAATACCACACTCTAGCCCAGCACCAACCTAGTGGAAAGGAAAATTCCAGTTCACATTGTTAGCACTGGTTGTAGTCTCACAGTACAAACAGAGGATGCATGAACATAACAAAGTAATGCTGTATCACTAAGATAGTTAGTTTTCCCTGTTCAGAAAGTAATTTTTGTTTGTTCAATACAAGATGAAATGTGCATCTTCGATTTACTTATTAACCAGGAAGTGAACTGCAGTACGAAGATTTGAAGACTCGAGTGTAAATTCCATACCTCCTTTACAGCTTCTTTCACCCTTCTCAAGGAATCAAGCGAACCCACATATACTTCTTTCCCTTTGCGGAGAACCCGAACATTACAATCTTGAACAACTTTTCCTGTAGTAATCATGCAGCCTGCTACTTTTCCACTGCCACTACTAAAAACAGCTCGAACTTTTGCAGAACCAATTGGTACTTCCTCCTGGAGAAGAAACATGTATTCAGGATAAACAAAAAAGTAGCTCACTAAAGTTACTCAGTCTTTACAAAACAGAAAAACTCCCAGTTAGAATCCTAATGGAGAAATTAATGAATACTCATTTAATTGAAAGGACGAAGGATCTATCAACTTTGGAAAGATGTTGAACTACAATTAATGATGACGGTTTATGGACTTCTTTCGGTCAACTGATTTAAAATCCCAAAAAGTGTGGTTACCTCAGCAGGTTCAAGAAGACCTTCCATGGCATTCCGTAAATCATCAATCAAATCGTAGATCACTTTGTACAGACGAATTTCAACACTTTTCTTCTTAGCATAGTTTTTAACTGATCCTGGTGCTCTGACATTAAAGCCAAATATAATTCCTTCTGAAGCAACAGCCAGATCAACATCGCTAACACTCACATCTCCTGGAGCTTGAAGGAGGAACCTCAGAGAGACATTTTCTTGTGGTAGAGCTTGGATGGCTTGCCTAATGGCCTCGATTGTACCCTATTTATCAATCGTTAGTATTTTCAGAAAGAAAGAACCATTATTATAAACAAAATGTTTACATGTATCACCACTACCTGAAAATCAACTTTAAGGATAACATTTAGCTCATGTGTATCAATTCCAGTTTGCTTCGCAGATGAAACCGATGCTGCAATAGATGAAAGCGTGACTTTTCCTTCCCCAGCTTTTGCAGATATCCTTTCTAGGCGCAGTGCTTCAGCACGCTCATTCGCCCTTTCACGTGCAACATCAAGGTTGTCAACAACCTCAAATTCATCGCCGGCAAGGGGAACATTATTGAGGCCAATAACCTATCAAGAGTTTTTGATAAAAAATCAGGATGCTTATATCACTGGTGTTCCATGAGCGTTCAACCATTGGTTAAAGCAAAAGGAATCATCCTTTGAAGGTATAATGCAAGCTTGAAACACGTAGCTACTCTACTATTTCATTTTGTCACACTGCTTTGGAGAATCCATGACTGACACAGAGCGAATTTCTGAAGTCCAGGCTTATCCACTTGAAATCTATAGTTTTTTTTTCAGGAACAGTGGGGAGCCCCCCTACCTGATTTTTTTATATATAGATGAAAGAAACAAAATATGTACTGAGGTGTAATTCATAACAAATCTGGCATTTAGTCCTCAATAAAAAAATAATTAATGCAGAAAAATAAAGCAGAGTAATCATGGTGATATATGTCAGTTATCAAGATCCAGTTTTGTTGTTCCAATAACCTTATTTTAATAATGGAGAAACATTCGGTGCATTCTCATAGTATAACTTTACATGACTCATATTCACAAGAGCTAATGTATATTTTGCAGCAAAAGCAGGAGAATGCAATTCCAGTATAAATCTTTTGACATAAAACATAAATATGTTAGAATAAGGAGAAAGTAGGAAGGAATCACAGAAGAGAAAATTGAAGAAAATAGGGAAGGAAAAACCTGCACGGCATTGGATGGTCCTGCTTTGTCAACGAGCTTCCCACGGTCATCATACAATGCACGGATCTGTCATAATATAGGTGTGATGTTATATACCAATCAATCCACAAATATATGTGTTAGATTATGTTTTCCTAATGCTACATTGTATTCTCGACATATTAACAAATGCAATGAATAAGGATATAGGAGACCAACCTTTCCATAAGCTTCACCACACACAATAATATCAGCTTTGTTTAGGGTTCCATTCTGAACAACCAAGGTAGCAAGAGGCCCTTTGGCCTTGTCAAGGCATGCTTCAATAACAGTGCCCTTCGCATTTCTATGTGGATTGGCCTTTAATTCTTGCAACTTCAAATTTGCAACAAAAGAAAAGGTCAAAAAAGAACTTAATAGATTGCTGGAAAACATTGCGCAAACAGAAACGTACCTCTGCAACAAGCATGACAGTCTCTAGAAGTTCATCAACATTGTCCCCAGTAAGAGCACTTATCTGGTAGATATCAACTAAAATGGCTCAAATAGGTAATAAGATGCTATACTATTGAACTACTGTTTTATAAAATTGGCACAATCAGCAACCTGGATCATTGGGGTATCACCACCCCACATTTCTGGCATTAGCCCAATTTGGGAAAGCTCTTGCATAACTCGTTCTGCATTAGCTCCCTCCTTCTCTATCTGCTTCCATGTGAGTTCAATGAATTCTAAGAAGGGGCTTGTAACAATTTATACCAATGGATGGAATACAAGGAAATGATTTGAAAACAGACCTTGTTTATTGCTATTATAATTGGCACTTCGGCTGCCCTTGCATGTGCAATTGCCTCACTTGTTTGTGGCTGAACACCATCATCCGCAGCAACAACAACAATACAGATATCAGTTACTCTAGCTCCTCTAGCTCTCATTGCACCAAATGCCTGACATATCAAAGAATTAAGAATGGCAATGTCATATGCATAAATGTACATACAACAGAAAGGGTGAAGTGTGGACTACATGACAACAGAAGTTATATTTATATACCTCATGTCCTGGAGTATCCAGAAAAATACAGGCTTGAGGGTTTCCATCTACTGGTACAAGAACCTGATATGCTCCAATCCCTTGTGTAATACCACCAGCTTCAGATGCCACCACCTGTAAGGAACTTGGGTTAGATCATTAATTGCTGAGATTAGTAATTTTATTCAAAAATAAAAAATACAAAAACTTCCATATATCACTGACAGAAGTAACACATCACAGATAAGCTATTATAAGTTTACCTTGCTCTTGCGTATATAATCCAACAGAGTTGTCTGCAAACAAAAAATAGCAGTGTCATGCAACCAATACTTTAGAAAAGTTGAGAGTTCCAAAACGTAGCTTCAGACTTGGTACCTTCCCATGATCAACATGTCCCATGATAGTCACAATGGGAGGTCTCACTTCCAATTTATCCAAATCTTCCTCATCAAGGAACTCCTTCTTCTTCGCCATTTCCTCCACTTTCACAGGACCACTTTCTAGTACTTCAACATCATATTCCATGCAAACCATCTTAACCAAATCTTTATCCAGCGTCTGAACATTGTCGAGCATAACTCCTCTCACCGATAAGAATCGTAAAATTTCTGATTCACTAACTGCCAAGTCATATGCCAAGTCCTCAATCAGCATACCTTCTTCACCAACTTCAAGGATCTCAACTCTGACTGGCTCTTCAGCTTGCATAGCCTCTAGCCTTGCAGCCCGGCGTTTTGCCTTGCTCCACCTCCTACCCTTGCGCACTGCAACACCAGAAATTGGCACATCAGCAGTATCCTCATCAACTAATCCATCATCATTGGGCATACGTCGCCGGGAACCAGCTTGTGTGTCTGGTTTTTTGCGACGATCAACTCTGACTTTTGCTGGTGGGCCTCGCACTGGTTTTAGAGGATCTAACAATTCCTCAGGTACAATCGGATCAACTGCTGCCCTCTTGGAAGCAAATTTATCAATAAGGATGGGTCCTTTTTTCTCCTTTGATGTATCAGACTTGACAGGTCGACGAGGAGGCGGTGCTACAGAAGGTTTAGATAGTAGCGGAGGGGCAGGTTTCGATGGAGATGACACTGAAGGTTTAGCCACAGGTATAGACTGACTCCTACTTTCAGTTCGTTGTTGCTCTCTAATGACCTTACGTACTGTTGGCACAGGGTTCCCCTTCCGCCATACACTCTTTAGTGTTTTTGTCTTCCTCAAATTCCCACCTTCCTCCACTAATGTTGGTCCTGGGCCATTACTCGAAACATTATTCTGCCTTGAACTAAGGTTGCCACCATCTGCATTACCAAAGCTCGAGGCTTCAAGCTTCTCTGCCTTCTCCAATACAGCGTCCAATGACTCCCTGACCTTTTCTCTGTCATCTAAAGTTGCCCCTGCTGTCTTCTGATCAGGCAGTGATACTGTTTTCATGCTCTCCGGTGGTCCATTTGGCTGGACTGGCTTCTGTGGTGGTACTGGCTTCTGTGGCGGCTTCAGAAGGAGATCATTGTCATCATCAGCCTTCACACTGACACTCCCTCTTGACGAGAACTGAACACCCTTCTCCTCAATCAGATTAGTGATGACCATACACCTGCAAAGCCTCCCAGGCTCATACTGCCACCGCCTTATGCCGTCGAACCCCGTGAAGCTGATCCTTGTGACCAAGTGCGCCCTCCTTGCAGCAGCAGCAGCAGCCGGGAGTGGGCCAGACCTCCCATTGCTTCCGAGGTTGGTGACGGAAGCAGGAGATGCCATGGCAATATACTTTTAGCAATACTGCCTTGCACTCATAAATGTTGAGAACACAAGGTGTTTGATAGCAGGGCTACCTGTTGCTGTTGGAGAATCAAATACAAAATCAAATTGTGTAACAAAATTCAAGCTCAGTTAACAGCCCCAGAATAAAATGCGTGGCTAGGAAATTTCAATTCTAAGAGAATCTGCGGAACGACCAAATTTTGAATCAGTAATCGAACTCAGTGAACACACCAGATAATAATCCTTTCTAAATGCTTGTTTGCGAGCGCGCAGTATTTAGCTTATGGACTGCACACACTGGACGACAAGGAAAAAATGTGAAAAAAAAGGAAAAAAAATTAAGAGGCCGGTTGGGCGGTGCAGGTGGCGTGGGTGGCGCCTGGAGAAGAGAAGGCGGCGTTGCGACGCGGGAGCCGGGGGAGCTCGAGCCGGAGACGGAGAAGATGCTGGGATTAGCGGCGGCTGCGGTCGCGGCCTCGCGGGCGGCGACGGCTGACTGCCCGAGCCGGGCGGGCAAGCGGCGGCGGCAGCGGCGGAGCGTGGTGGAGGGGAAGATAAGATATAGAGAGAGAGGAGGTGAAGATTAGCATGCGTGGGCGTTTCCGCTTGCACGCGCGCGCGCTAGTTGAGTTCGGGGTGCAGGGTGCTCGTTCCGCACACCAGGAAGGCAGGAACGGAAGGGAAAGGGCGGCGTACCTAGTGGACGATCGTCGCCGGCGAAGCGCAGATGAAACCTCGCCCAGCGCCGCTGCCGCCGGCGAGGAACCGGGACGTGAACCACTACGGATTGGGGAAGTGTCCTTGTTCCCGAAAAACTATCGGGAGAGAGCTCTCCCGATTGGCTTATCGCGAGGGCCACGCCAGAGAAATGGGGGCAGCCGCGGCAGGCTTGAATGGATGGTGATAAGGTGGCACGCCGGAGAGCCACTCAGCATATCTGCCGTGGTTGCTTTCTGGCCTGAATTTCTTTTCTTTTTCTTTTTCTTTTTCTTTTTGTTTCGAATAAGTGAATTCACAGTAATACTGGACCAGATTGTATGCGTGTAGGAGTACACTTTAATTTTCAGTGAATTAGATCGTTACAGAGTATTCAGTGAACTATATCATCGACGAACATTTAGTGAATTATGGTTATTGCGAATCAAACACAATATCATTGCGTTAAACACAACGAACTAATAACGAATTATTCATGTTCATCAAGGTTACTATTAGATTATCATTACGAAAATAAACATCATCAATGTAGCGATTAGTTCATCACCATTACCAAAATAAGGATCGTCTAGTAGCACTGTGTTATATTATGTATTAAGCAGTGTCAACCATGGAATATACGTTCAGCATGTTCGCTCGTTGGTTTCAGCCAGCCAACAGTGTTTTCCTCTTATAAAAAACCAGCACCAGCCAGCCCAAACCAGCACCAGCACCAACCAGCGAACAGACACTACGGTGTGATTTGAAGTTGGACACGCTTGCTGGAGTGCACACAACGATCTAATGTCATCTTAGTGGGCAGTGGCGAAGCTAAGCAAATTAGAAGGAGGGTGCGCTATCCTGTAGGTGCAACCATAGTGAAATTTTGATTATAGTACTGGTTTTTTAAATTTTCGTGGGTGTATCCGCACCCACAAGCTACAAACATAGCTTTGCCACTGTTATTGGGTCCGGTGGATCATTTGAAGGCACTGTGCAACAACTAGTTTATCTTGGACAGAGCTTACTTATATGCACTATATGATCCAGCGTGAATTGCACTGGTCACATTAGGTGAGGAATATTCGAGAATTTTCAGTATGACGATTAGAAAAGCAAGACGACACAGGGCCACCAGATGATATTGTGCTCCTTTATGAGACATGGCGGATCATTCGATGTTGGGTTTCTTTGAAACCTTTTTTTTCAACGGCTTCAATAGGCATTTGGAGTTCTCTCTAACCCAAGATAGCTCCACACACATATAGAGAAGCTTTGTGTAGGGTTTGAGGGTAGTTCAAGTGAAGAAGAGTGCTTGAGACTTGATAGTGTCTTAGTTTGCATCCTTTGGCTCTTGGCATGAAGGTTGGTCAAGTGAAGATTGAAAACCTAGTACTCTTGGAGTTTGTCCGCTCCTATATAGCTCGGTGGAAGATCAGGTGTCCCTTCCGATGGAGATCTTGTTAGGAGGCTTTTAGAGATGTGCTTAGTTTAAGACCTGCCAATCCAGAGTGTATAACAGGTACACCTAGTGGATCTTGAGCCTTGGTGACTCAAGGGAACAAACATGGATTAGGTTGTAATGGCAACTACTCGATACCATAGAGAGAGAAAAAAACCAATTCTCTTTTCCTCTCTTTATTTTCATGAATTTTACTCTTGTCGCTTATCTTATTTTGTGTGTTAATCATTGTGTGAATCTAATGATAGATTTGCTTAGTATGTTTCTCTAGCTAGTTTTCTTTATGCATATCTTCTAATTAAGGACATGATCAGTGTTGTGGCCTAAGGACTCGTTTTAGTGTGCTTTTATAGAAGTTTAAGGGCTAGTTCTTGCTTAAGGGTGAAGTAGTATATAATAGATTAAAGTTTGTTAATTTAAATTTTTAATGTCTTAGGGCTTATTTGGTACGGCTTATAAACAGCTTATGGTCAAAATAAGCTTAAACCAATAACCAAACGGGACGCTTTTTTGCAGCTTATCTCGATCACGTTTATTTTCACCACTCTCATTTGTACTTAAAAAACAAAAGTTAGATCAGACCAGCTAATTTTGATCGTCGTTTCTACTCTATTTGTGCAGCTTATCTGGGAAGCGCTTCCCAGATAAGCTGTACCAAACAGCCGTAGTCGTCCTCGTACATGGTGCTGCTCAAATGCAGATGCGGAGGCCAGCAGTCTCGTTCGTCTTTCTCCTTTCTTCTCCGTGTTCGATGTGCGAGTTCCTCTCAGCAAATTCGTCGTATGCTTGGTAAACTTGCAAGTTCCTCGAGAATTTGGTGTAAGCAACGTGACTGATAATATGTTTGAATCGATGTACTTGGAATGCAAATCCAGAGAGAGAAGATTGAACACAAGATTGAGAGAATAAAATTGCTTGCTTGATTGATCTCTTGTTGTTACCTATTTATATACAGGCGGCGTCGGACGCGCCGGGAATCAGTGACAGATGAGCAAGATGGGAGTTTGGATCGCTTTCTCGGGAAACTGATCCGCCCGATGATCAGGTGTCTGGAATCTGGATGAATCTTAGGGGTACATGCTCGACACACACCAACCAAACTCCAAATGCATCTTGTCTATCTGCGGGGCTAAAGGATGGGCAGTCCAGTTTGTTAACTGAGATATGCTAGCCACTCCGACGGCACCCTCCAGGTCTTGAGTTTGACTTTCAGTGGGAGCGAATTTCAGTGTGGGGGTTAAAAAAATCCCCTCGCCGGTCCCGGGTGCCAAAGCACTGGTTTAAAGGAGACGGCCTATCTCACGGGTTACGTCTCCTAGTGTCGGGTCGGGGCTGGGGTTCGGGGGTTTTCTCGGCCTGTGTGAGAAGACCTTCTTCTTACGTATAATGTCCGGAGGACGGCTTGCCCCTCGCCATGTGTGGCGAGGAAGCTGCGCCGCCCACTGTCCGTCGGAGGGAGGTGTGTGGTGAGGAAGATGCGACCGGCGGGGAGATGTGCCTGGTGGAGGGAGTCAAACGGCGGGGGAGTCGAATGGCGGGGGCAAGGCGAGGAGCGCCGCCCTGAGCAGAGAGTAGGAGCGGAGAGAGAGGAGTCTGGAGGGGAATGGTGAGGGTGAAGATAAGGATGGGAGGTGAGGAAAGTCTGTGCGCGCTCTCGCGCTTGTTTCCCGCGTGTCCACGCAGACCGTGGATAAGTTTGTCCGCTCGTTTTCTAGTGACCGTGATATACAACATCTAAGAGGAATATACCATGTTCTGGATATCCATGCCCAACTTATCTATGGAACCAAAACAGGTCTGAGATATCCCTGTTCCAACCATGGATACTCCATCAACCTAACACATCCTAACAGGGGACGCGCGCGAGGCCAGAGTTTTGTAGGGGAGAATAAGAGGGGGACGCGCGCGAGGCCAGCTGGATTCACGCGCCCTCCAGCAGGTCGAGTTTTTTTTTTTTTTTGTCTATCTGCGGGTCAACAGGAGGTGCTCAATACTAGGTTTCACATGACCGTGTGCAGAGGTATAAAAATAGCTCCTGGGAGCTTACTGGTGTCAGAATGTACTGGCATTACAGAACCATGAGGAGTACAAGGTTATTTCAAGATCCTTTTGTTCGGTGTACAAGAGTTATTGATGAGCAAGTATACAAAACACGTTTCATGGTCCCTTTGTATGCATTTGTCAGAACTTGCCTACTGCTATATAAGTTTATAACATCCTTGTTATTATGCTTTGGCAAAAAAAAAAGTATTACCTCAACTTGTCATATGTATTTTCTATACTTACATAAGTAATAATCTACATTGGCTGTGTTGTAGAAAGAATTAATTTGATCAGAATTCAAAGAATCAATAGAATCGTTGATTGTTGATGACTCCCCTGAAAGTATGATCTATGTCACCCTGATGTGGAAGCTGGTTTGCCGGGACGCCAGAAACTCTTTGTAGCAACAAGAAATTGCTGTTTCACGATGACAGTTTCATAGTGCAGAGACTTCAGGATTGGGCGCATCTTTTTTATCATCTCTACTGTGTCTTTCAACACAAACCATCTTCCAGGTCTCAGTATTCTGTCAATTTCAACCACCACTTCGATGATGTCACACCTAAATAAAAGATACAAATATCACCGCAAGTTCCTGACAGAATGAGTGCACAAACAGCAGAAGTAATAAAGGTGTGAGAATTCACCTATTTGTAAGACTTCCAATGAGATTACTCATGTGGAGAAGATCATAGGTACGAGGGTAGGTGTTGAAAGATTCGCACCAGTCATGATATGCCCCAATCAAACCTCTGTTGAAAATAAGTGGCAAGGTATCTGGCTGACCAATTGGTGCAACATTCATAACCCATAAAGGTCGATCAATGAGTGCTGCCGCAAACCTGGTTCAACAAAAGAAGTTTGATTAGCATTCCCATCATGAAATGGAGTCTCCAATTAGTTTAATACCAATTGATTGTTATGCAGATCGGCATGCATACAAAACAATAAGATCTTTGATATCAGTGCAACTGTAAGTTTATGGGGCCTCTGCCTTACCGACTTTGCAGTAAGTCAGAAAGTAATAGAATAAAAAAAGGAGTAACCACTTAAGGCATTGCTGAAGCAAGGATGATTATATTCAAGGTTTCAGGCTATGGTTCAGCATAAGTTATCCTAATTTCGCTAACAAAAACTTTCAGATTGAAAGGCAGCACCCTGCTTTATCAACATATGCTCGGCAGATCTGCCAACCATTAAAAAAAGGAGACTGGAGTGCAAAAATCTCATGTTACATTATCCGTTTATAATACCTTGTGCTCCATATATAAGAAACAATTGAAAGATATGGTCTTAGAATCCTTAATGTCGTCCCAACATTTAGTGAATAATTAACTTCTGCCTCTAACCCTCCATAGCAGTCTGCTGTGTGAGAGGCAGCGCTACTAGCGCTTGTACGATGTAACTCCTTATTAATATTAAGCCAGGCAACCGGATCTTTCAAAAAAAAAACTATATAAGAGAAGTAGCAGTAGAAATTTGTCTTTACTTACCCTCCAAAACCAGCATTCATGTCCATTACATTGCGAATGCTTGACCAATTAAGTGGGAAGTCACTGAAATATACTTCTGAAACGAGCTGTTTCCAATACTTTGTATCAGCTTCAAACTTCTCTTTGTTAGAAGCAGAATCATCAGGTACACTTGCATATCTAACATCAAGTCCTTCAGGCCATGGAACAGGCCAATTGTATCTTTCATCTGAAGTGGTAATGGCGGTTGAGAAAAGGCAACTATCAAGAGGAGCATACCTGCAAAAGCAAAAACAAGGGCAATGGTATACATGACATTAGATAGAAAGATTGAATGGCATCATGTTAACTCTATTTGTCAGTGAACCAGTAAAGTTATAATCAGAAATACGCATTTGGAGGCGACAAGACAAATTTAATAAGTTGTGACCTACCAAGGAAAACGTGATCCATCTCTCTCGGAGCATAGAGGGGGTTCATTGGTCTTCCTTTCAGCATAGCAAGAATTCAATGCGGGCTTTTGATATATAACAACTCCAATTCCATTGACATCTTGAGATTTTACCACTGTTCTCCAGCAGATTGATTTAGTCAGAGTAACCATTGCTGCACAAGCAGAAACGGACATTTCAATTAGCATGGAAAAATATTCACCAAATGACAAAATTTAGATAAAATCTCTAGGATGTTGTATATTCTCGATAGAATATATGACAGCCCACGAACCGTTCCAGTCGTCTTGGTCTCTTTTCTCTTGACGGTAGACAGGGGTTGCAGACCAAATGAAATATCCTCCAGGCCTTAGCACTCTATTAAGCTCCAACAGTGGTTTTCCACCTGCCATTCAAAGTGGAAGATTAATTAAACAAAAAAATCAAGGAAAATAAGAATACACTTCACAAAACAGGACAGAAAATATAAATCTACATTATTTTGTTTTTTATCAATATTGTGAAGAAATAGAATACTTGCCATTTGCATACCAGTGGACCCTGCACCTTGCACAGTGTACAACATCGAACGTATTATCAGGAAACGGAAGCTTTTGTGTTCCAATTACTGCTAGAAATGCTGGAATTCCACGCTCTAGTGCAAATTGTATCTGAGCCTCATGCTCATCTTTTGGGCAAATGACATAGTAATGACATTCCTGTCAAACAGGTACCCACCAAAGCTGGCAACACCACATCCAACATCCAAGACAGTTCTGGTGCGCCTTCCCCATTGTATGGTTGGCATAATCTAAAGATGAAATTTATCAACAGTAAGTTACAAGGAGATAAAGAGAAACAGCAAGTTGTTACAAAACTAATGTACTTGAGTATAAAATGACTAAACCCCCAGCATAAGAAATTATATTTAGCAACCCAAGCATGGCCTTTATGTTCAACCCCGACCAGCAAAGACTCAAATGGCATTGAACAGACTGAGCAGCGAGCAAGGCAGTGAATTGATCAAAGGAAATACACAAGAGAAACACCTCAATTCGCATGATGCATGCAACTCACTTGTCTATCAAAGTACTTAACGAAATTCCTCCGCGGAGTTAAGCTGTCCCAACATAGAGAAAAGTGATTTGGTAATGTTTACCTGTTCAACAAACTGAATGTATCTTCCCACGCCATCTTTGAATTGAGTTCCACCTCCAGGAAAAACAAGATAATCACCAACTCAGTTCTGATCTTTCTTATACTCTCCCCGTTGGCTTTGGGTGAGGGACGTTGTTGTACCAAATCTGGATTTGCGGTGAAATGAAACACAATCAGATAGTCAGCCACCTAATGGCATCATAAAAAAGATGTTGGCGTCGGACAAACATAATTATAAAGAGGAATTTACTATCTTACCAAAGGATGCATTAACTGATATATCAGATTTGAAATCCGAAGTAGCCCCATAAGTTATTTTCTTTATTTGTCATAGAGTCCATGTACAGAAAGAGTATTCTCTATCAAGAGATTCCAGATCCCCAAACGTATACTCACTGTGCTGGTGAAGTATAGCAAGTAGCAACTTCCAAAAACAGAGAACGTCCTTTAGTTTGTAGTGCAAATCAAGTATTCTAATATGAGAATCAAAAAGTTTTTTATGGGAGTCCTGATCCATGGCCTGTAGTTGAGTATATTAAACATAACAAACACTAGCACCGCTAGCAGCCCAACTTTCAAATACCATTCTCAAGATCATGATTCATGAATGCCAAATCATTGTAAGCACTTCTTGAATATTATTATAAACGAATAAACCAAATAGGATCAACAACCAGAGCCACTTCCGTCCCTTACCGGGACAAAGGCAATAGCGAAGCGACGCTCAAAGCGCGGGTAGGTCCTCACCATGTCACGGCTGCGCGGCCACGGCACAGGCGTCCGGTACCCTGCGGGCAGCGGCACCAGGCATCTGAGCCGGGGCGGCAGGGGCAGTGCCGCTCCCGGTGCTCCATGTGCCGCCTCGACCGCAGCGCCTTGATCGCCCGCACGTTGTCGAGGCACGGGATGTAAATCCGTCGACGACACGCCCCTCCCTAGCCTGCTGCATAAGCGTCTGCCACCTTGCATCTCACCGGCACCTCCTCGCCGTCCCCACCACTTCTCCACCGGGGCGACGCTTGTATCCGTCTTCCCAATCATTGTCTGCCTTATTTCTTGACTCCCTCGGCATCGCTGTTGTTGCCTGCTCCCGGCGAGCCGCTGGCTTCCTCGGTGGATGGTTCCGATGCGCTACTGTTGGCATCGGCTCCTTTTGTTGACGACTGGCTGCGATGCACTAGCACCAGTGTCACCTCCTCTTGTCGGTGGCGCTCGAGCCATCTGGTTCCGAGTGAGGTGGGCTTCTGCTTCTCGGGGTGTGGTTTTGCTGTTGGGGAAGAAGAGGAGGTGCGAGGGGAAGGGCTGAGGCGGAGAGATCTGCAAGTGTGGGGAGGGAGGAAGGGCGAGCGATCCAGGTGAGGGGTCGAGGAAGAGGAAGACAAGGACGAGGATGGCGGAGATGAGGAGGAAGATGAGAGAGCGAGAGGAGGAAAGAACAAAAAAAGCCCTGTCTGCCGCCTCGCGCGGTCGGAGGAAGGGTACGGGTTGGTTGCCATCATCCCTCCGATTATAATGATGTCTTTTCCCGGTTGTTAAGCGTCACTGGTGCGGCGTTGAACTTGTGATCTGCTTGGCGAGTGGAGCCAACCTAAGGACTGAAAAGAAGGCGGCGGCATGGTGGCGGGTGGTGAGGTTTGACACATTTATGCTTCGGTTTTAAGCGGGATGGGCGGATTGTTAATGGCTCAGCGGAATATGCGATTGCTGCTAAAGACCGTCGCGGCCATTGAGTAAAGAATTTGAGATGAAGGACTTGCTGCGTTGGCTAGCCTCGGCGGCTCGCGGTGGATATTGAAAAGGATATGGCGGTAATGGAGATTTTTTTAAGTCGATAAAGATATTGAGTACATTTTAACCCTTTTCTCTTATTAATTTTGTTCTCGTCCTAATCTCATGCATTGAGTGTTGTCAGAGATTCATGGCTAATCCTGCATTGGAGGGCTTTTTAATGCAGCATTTTTAGTTTAGCCACTTTTGTCTACTATAGCGCCTATTTCTCAAGCTTGCCTATTTGGTTGAGAGGTTTATACCAAATTTTTGCACTGTTGCGTGATAGCATGCATTTGGTGGCGACCAAGGATGGATGTTTCATGAAAGAACAGAGGCTATTGATGTGAGGTATCACTTCATTCGAGGTGTTATTTGATGTTAAGGTGTGCAAGATAAGTACTCATGATAATCCTGATATGGCCAGCCTCCTGGAGCTAAGTTTGGACTATGCTCAAGCTTAGTTGGCATTACAAATTACCTAGTGTTTTTTTTACCGGTGACTGTTTATTATTGAAGTGAGTTGATTGATTGATACTTCATTTGATCCGATGAATTCGCCTCAAGGTGGAGTTTGTTGAATAAAATCCGAATTATAACGTGGGGACGCCTGGAGGGCCCACGGTTTGGTCATGTTTATTAGCGGATTTGTTTCCGTATTTGACCGCAAATCAGTCCGTCCTATTTAAATACATCTTGCCGCACGGGAAGAGCGGCGACTCATTGTATCCCCTGCGCTTACGTAAACTCTCTCCATATAGTGAAGATCGCTGGTTGGCGCCTGTTTAATCGCAAGAGTTTTCCACGTAAAAATATGTCTCGTGTCCAATCTTGATTTGCATTATTTACTAACATACCCCCAGTTTGGGTGAGTTATTCTAAAATATTGTTTGACGTGAAAACAATCAATAGTGGATTTGTTTCGGACAAACATAATTATAAAGTTGAATTTTTCTTACCAAAGGATGCATTAACTGATATATCAGATTTGAAAGAATTTGATAAGCCAATGATTTTTGTCATAGTCTTTACATATATCAAGGTTAACCACCACTGTTAAGTATAATCGATTCCAAAAACGGAGAACGTCCTTAGTTTGAAAATCGATTGAGATCGAAAGTTTTTTGGGAGTTGAAATGGCGAATATATTTTAACAAGGCACCGCTAACTTATTTATTTGGCTTTCATTGGCCCTTGATATTATAGGATCGGGATCAACAACCAGAGCCACGCCGTCCAATGGACCCGGCTTCGCTTGACCCCTCACCATGTCACGGCTGCGCGGCCACGGCACAGGCGTCCGGTACCCTGCGGGCAGCGAGATATCCCGGCCGGGGCGGCAGGGGGCAGTGCCGCTCCCGGTGCTCCATGTGCCGCCTCGAACTAGTTGCTACTTAATCTCGACGACATATAGTGATGCACGTCTGCCACGCATTGAACCGAATATGAAGCCCGTCCGCCCCGATCCCTCGGCATCGCTGTTGTCGCCTGCTCCCGGCGAGCCGCTGGCTTCCTCGGTGGATGGTTCCGATGCGCTACTGTTGGCATCGGCAACGACTGCCACATAACATTTTCATTGGTTTGACATAAGTTTGACATAACATAACCAACTAAGCGGAGAGACGGAGGGGGGGAGGAAGGCGAAAGCAAGGGGTTGAGGAAGAGGAAGACAAGGACGAGGATGGCGGAGATGAGGAGGAAGAGCGAGAGCGAGAGGAGGAATAATAGGGACGGCCGACATCCCTCCGCAAACTAAGATCTGCTTGGCGAGTGGAGCCAACCAGAGGACTGAAAGAAGGCGCGCAGTGGCAGGTGGTGGGGTTCGCATCCGGGTTTGGAGCTCGCGACGTCATGCCTGCTGCGTTTGGCGCCTCGGCGGCATGTGGCGGAATCCCTTTTGGATTTTTTTACACATTAGTGCCTAACGAGTGTAGCCGCGGCATGCATGGTGGCGGTGTGGATGTGTGACCGGATTTGCCGACCGCTGACATGGCGGGTCGCTCCAGCACCACCGATACCGCAGAGAGCGAATAAAACCTCGCAAGTATATATGATATGCACAATTACTTAGAATTCTTTTTGATGATCAATAGTGGATTTGTTCATGTAGAGAATTTGATAAGCCTGACGTTTTTAAAGAAACTACCTTTGTTAATCGATTCTGAAAAATTGGACTTGTGATGCTCCTTGGATACGGCGAAGCGGGGACACCACCTCAGCAGACGCCGCCACCGAGACATGCCGATCTACTTAATCTCGCATGTAGTGATGCTGCGAAACGAATATGAAGCAAATAAATGAAGTCCCAAGCTGCCACATCATTTTCATTGGTTTGTCTGCGAACCAACTAAGCCGCAAGTTTGGACGCCAATAATAGTTCGACTTAACAAACTAAGACCCAGTGTAAGGATCCTCTGACGCCGGTCTTCTTCGTAGGGTTGGCTTTAGGAGTGTAGCCAACGCTATGATGTGGTGGTGGCAAGTATATGATATGCACAATTACTTAGAATTCTTTATGATCGTTAGTTCATGTAACCTTGTTTTAGCACCTATCACCAAGCGGGCACCACCGAGACATGCCGATCTCTGGCCCCTGTGGCCAATCGTCCCACCGGGTCGTGTCCCCTCAAAGAGGTTGAAGACGTGCCACCCTATCACCGGCGAGAAGAGTGGTGGTTCCTCATAAGGAAGTGTCCATGGTGGTTCCTCATAAGGAGTTTTGAGCTAGCTTCCTGCTTTCACTCTTCTTCTTCACCTTCTGCATAAATAGACGTTAAAGTTAGTGCATTTCTCAAACGCATATACACTAAAGAAACATTTTCGGAACGGACTAGTTTATGTTTACCTCCACAAAAGCCTCGAGAACGCCTGGCCCCTGCCCTCTAGACTCGTGAAGCCGGAACGCTGCTTCGTTGAATAGCCTCGACAATTGTGTCGCCTGGGTACAGAAACGTGGCTGAACAGTTTTAGTATACATACTTAATACCAAATGGATAACAAATTGTGCCATTCAAGTATCTTACCATGTATCTTTGTAGGCGGGGCTCTCTGTAGCTGTGTATCCTCTCTAGTGGCAACGTCGTACACATCTTCGATCACATCTTCCTCCGAGTTCTCGTCAATCGCCTCCTCAGTGTATGGGGGCTTGATATGTATCCTCGTAGACCTGTGAAGCCAGCGCAGGTACTCGTTGAAGGTGTGCTGGTCGTGTGGAGGACCCGCATGGACCGGCTGTCGTTCCCTGGTCTCCCACAAGTGGATGTGCGCGTTGTGTGTCACGCGCCAATCCTTCGTCTTGTACCTCTTCCTGCGGTCATACCTGCAACAAAACGATGTTAGTTGTACCACACACACATCTGAATTGTAGCTTTGTTATTAATCGATAACGCACCCATGCAATCCTTGGTTGGTGGAGTAAAGCGGTGGTGGGCAGCCTGTCATTCTTCCAAACTGTCTGCAGACCCTAATGGGCAAGTGAATCTCGACCATGTGAAAGAAAATAAGAGGGACGTTGCAGCGATACTCCTCTGACTCGTCCCTAGTGATAGGACTGAGATAGTACTGGAGCTCTAGAGCATCCTAAGGACACCAATGCACCTGAATATTTCGTAATTGAGTTAGGCTGTGATATAATGTAGATCGAACAAGACACAGGTATGATAGTAAAGAGAGCGTAACCTGGTGCTGTGTCAGGACGTAGAGACCGTCCGTGTACTCCCTATACTTGCGTCTCGCATTCCCTCTAACTAATTCTAATTCTGTCCAGATAAACAAAGCTGTAGGGAGTGTATCCTGCCCGTTCCATTACTGCATTGAATACGATAATGAATTAGCCATTAATAAACTCATCATATGTAACCTTATCGAAGAATATAATAAACCGAAGTACTTACCGGTAAACCAGTATTAAGGGGCCTCCCAACGGGCCATCGTTCTCAACACCAAACCTGGAGTAGGTACGAGCAACCCCCAAGGTTCGCATACCCTGAGGTGCGATGGCAGGCAACGCATAGCTGTCGATACGTCCATGCCAGGACTGCGCTGCCCCAGCTGTACGCCGCTATGTTCTCCCACGGCTGGCGTAGTATGTCAAGGAAGATCCAGCTGATGGTGTTGCCCGAGGCGTCTGGGAAGAGGAAAGCACCAAGAAAGTGCCAGAGCCACACTCGAGCGAACCTATCGATCTGAGCCTCCTCAGCCTGTGGGTCCAAGTAATCAAAGCGTTCCGTGATCCAGGACGACGAAACACCAGAAGTTTTCCTGAAATTGGCCAA